CCAGGACCTCTCACACCTGTCTCCCTCCCCTAGGACCTCTCACACCTGTCTCCCTCCCCCAGGACCTCTCACACCTGTCTCCCCTAGGACCTCTCACACCTGTCTCCCTCCCCCAGGACCTCTCACACCTGTCTCCCTCCCCTAGGACCTCTCACACCTGTCTCCCTCCCCCAGGACCTCTCACACCTGTCTCCCTGGAAGCAGACAGTGCTGCTGGGCTGGGACATCAACAGCTTCAGACAAACGTTTCCCAAAGTGCATTCCTTCCAACCCTTGCATCACCCACCTGCTCTCAGGCAGATGCTTGTGGGGCATATTGTCCACCCCCATTGGAGGCTCATGGAGGCTCCCACACAAGGAAGGTTCCGGCAAACCTGAGCCTTTTGATCTTTCCTGTTGGGACATGCTTCCCACGCTGCTTTGACCTCTAGAACCCCTTCCCATACATCCTTGTTAGCTTTGTGCTGAGCTGGGTTTCCATGGAGTAGTCTTTGGGGACCCTTTGGTCTACACAGTTCCCACCATCTCCAAGGGGAATCACAACTTTTTGACAGGTGGGTGGGGATCTGACACACTCCCTTCCTGATTTTAAACCACACAGTGTCCCCTTGTTCTGTTCAAATGACAGCCTCCTGGTCTATGTACAGGTTCCTCATGAGTACAATCAAGGGTTCGGGAATTCCCATTCTCAATGTTACCCATAATTTGTTGTGATCCACATAATCGAATGTTTTTGCATAGTCAATAAAACACAAGTAAACATCTTTCTGGTATTCTTTGCTTTGAGCCAAGATCCATCTGACATCAGCAGTGATATCCCTTGTTCCACTTCCCCTTCTGAATCCAGCTTGCATTTCTGGAAGTTTTCTGTCAATATACTGCTGCAACCATTTTTGAATTATCTTCAGTAAGATTTTACTTGCATGTGATATTAAGGATATTGTTCGATAATTTCTGCATTCTGTGGGATCACCTTTCTTCGGAATGGGCACAAATATGGATCTCTTCCAGTCAGTTGGCCAGGTAGCTGTCTTCCAAATTTCTTGGCATTGATGGGTAAGTACCTCTAGCACTGCATCCATTTGTTAAAACATCTCTGTGGATATTCCATCAATTCCTGGAGCCTTATTTCTCCTCAGTTCCTTCAGTCCAGCTTTGACTTCTTCCTTCAATACCATAGTTACACAGCCTCG